CTCGGCGATGGTTTCCAGAGTTGGTCTCCTTGACCTGCACATGCTCAACCTATATCTGAACTCCCTCATCTCCGCCGCCGCCGCCTCCTCCAACGATGTACGGGCGGCGTTCTGCTCCGACTCCGGAGGATAATCCTCCGCCACCTCCGTCGATACGTGGGTGGCATCCGGCAAGACCCTGGCGCCGCCTCCCAACTCCCGGCGGACCTCCTTCCGCGCTGCCATCAGCAGCGCCGCCATGTCGGCCGCGGCCACCACCGCGTTCACCCGCTTCATGGGGAACATGGCGTAGACGTGGCCCATCTCCAAGTCCTCGTCCGCCACGAGCGGCGCGAACCGCCGGCCGACGTGCATCGACCGCGAGTCCACGAGGAAGTGCCCCGGCGCGTCAAGCATGAGCTCCGCCGCGTTGGCCGGCCCGTCGATGCGCTGGACCCGGCCGCAGGGGAGGATCACCTTGACCGATCTCGCGTGGCCCCCTGCCGGCCCGGCGAGGGTGCAGGAGACGTAGTTTCCCATGGAAGCCTTGACCCGAAGTAGTCTCAGCGATCGCTGCGTGCTGTTGTTGGGATGGGAAGAATGAGTTGGTCGCTGGCTCTCGATGAGAGACGATGACGAAGGGTAGAGGGGGGAGTTTATAGGAACGGCAGATAAAAGCCGAGGAAGATTCCAGTCGGGTGGGCTGAGATGAGTTGCATGGTTAGCTGTCTCCGCGTCGAAGACGGGAAAGAGAGAATGAGACGGAGACAGAGAGAGAGAGAGAGACGTTTACGTGGAAGTTTGAGAGAACGCAGAGAGCAACTTTAGTGCGTGTGGGTCACGCAGTCGAAGTTTCCGGTCATTGCCAGCAGAGAACGGTAAGTATTACAATATAATATAATATTATTACAAAAGATTAATAATATTATAATAATGTACTATAAGAAGATAAAAATAAAATAAAATGTATATAATCAAAAAGAGAATTTGACAGCTGGAAATGAGTAATATATGGGAAATTTCTAACTCTTTGTGGATATTTTCCATTTTGTAGTGTACATCATAATTATCATTCACAAATTGGACATTTTGGTTTTATGATAAAATATATATAAAGAAATTTGATGATCACAACAACAAAAAGGAACGAAAGAGATGACTGTAATGTAAAGGAATAATCAGCAAAAGAGAAAGAAAAATGATAGTAAAGATTAATAAAGAGAGGATGGAAATAATTCAATGTTCAAAGAAGAAATTTTGATCATGTCAAATGGGATGAGTATTACCTGATCAAAATGCTCAATATATCACAGCAGAACATCTCTCTCTCTCTCTCTCTCTCTCTCTTGTGTGTTGTATTTAGAGAAGAATGACTTGTGAGGAAGTGACCCAAAGAAAAAGAAGACACAAAGGGAGTTGACTTTGGAAAACCATGGCCTTTAAATGCTAAGAAAAGTCAGCAGGTACACACTTGACTTGCATTGGCCACGAATCACTTCATTGCTTTGGCTTGCACGGAATTGCCAGTTTTGAGGTGTAAGATAAAGTCTCAGACATCGAGCACAATGAACACAAGGCTTTAATTTAAGGAGAATAGTTGACATCTGCATCAGCCAATGAAGTGATACAGCTAAGAAAATGTTTATCTTTGAGTAACTCTCAAAATGAGTTGACATTACAGAAATTGATTGTTTATGTCAGTCAAAATCATTCTCCCAAATGATGTATTAGTATCATATTGCAGTTTTATACTGGAAAGCCTCTAAGCTACAACATTTACATCTATTTTTGGATCACTAAATTTAACATGTCAACATCAAAATATGCTTTAGGAAAAATTTAGATACCACAAAATAACATATTCCAATGAATCAGATCAAATGCAGATGTTTCTGAAGCTCTCATACAACTAATCATGTTAGATACAACAACTGCCCCCCCACCTTCCTTTTTTTTTATCTTCAAGATTTGAAGCAACTAGTAATCACTAGGTAAAAGTATAATAATCAAAAGTTGAATCAGTCATTGATAAGAAAAACTCAGTTCATTGGGTTATTGTGTGTGTTTATATATAATATAGATAGGGTGATTGTATGGAACAATACTCTTTTTTGAGTTTTTGTTCCAGATTGGTACCCCTTTTCAAGATTTCCAAACCATCACCCCATTTTTCTAAAATCCCAAAAAATACCTCTCAAAAGCTGTTCAAAGTATTTTTTCCATTCAAATCCATAAAATTTTGCCTTCAACTGTTTACAGTATTTTATAAATTATTTTTTTAATCCATAACAAACATTGTATAGTGTTTTTATTTCAAAAACACTGTATAGTGTTTTAAAAATAAAACACTATATAATATTTTATGGATAAAAACCAACCCACAAAACACTGTAAATAGTTGAAAAAAAAAAAGGGATTTGGATGAAAAAATAATAACTTTTTAAGGGATATTTTTGGAATATTAGAAATAAGGGGGTGATGATTTAAGAATTTTGAAAAGGGATACTATCAGAGAAAAACCCAAAAAGAAGATATTTTCGCAAACAATCACCTTATAATATTCTCTTCTCCTTTCTCTTTCCTCTCTTCTTTCTTCCTTGGAACATATTCTTTCTTCTCCTTCCTCATTCATCTCTTCTCCTCTGCCATCTTTTCTTTTTTTTCTCTGTTTCTTCTTCACTCCCTTGCTATAATTCAGAAATGCCAGTTTCAAAAGAAACAAGAAACTGTAGTGCATGCAAAAGCACATAACTTCAGTACAACATAAATCTGGGCACCATAAAAGTGGAAGTTGTTCATATCAGAGGTGAAAAGAAATATCAAAAGAACATACTGAACTTCATACAAACCATAAAAGTGGAAGTTGTTATCTTTTAATCTTCACAAATTCCATCCGAAGAATGAAGAAGAAAAGTACATAAAAGCATTTAGAGCAAGTATAAAACAACACCAGCCATATCCATACATGATTAGCCACAAGTAACACTGCATCATAGATGATCTACCAGGGCAAAACCCAGTGTTGATGTCAGGCACACAACACTGGAGGAAAACTCCAAACAACCCATTAAAGGAAGAAGATTTAGTAACAGTCTATTCTAGCAAAAAAAAGTAGTTGCTTGTCAGGACACTGTGGAATTGATATTGAATTGTTTATAACCATCATGAGCACATCCTTAATAGGTCTGAAACTCATTGCTAATGTAACAAAATACCTAAATGCACATTGAACTTAATGGCACTCTAAATCCAAGATTTAAATCAGACATTATAATTTAAGAAGCTTTTAGATGGAATGACATTAATGAAAAACTTAGGAGGATATAGAGGTGAAACCAAACAGATTCAAATCAGACATAGGCTTAAGCTTTGCAACTATAAGAAGAAAAGAAGAATTTTGCAGCTATATCATCTATACAAGCTTAGGCTTTTAGATGGAATGATATTGATGGAAAACTTAGGAGGATATAGAGGTGAAACCAAACAGATTCAAATCGGACATAGGCTTAAGCTCTGCAACTATAAGAAGAAAAGAAGAATTTTGCAGCTATATCATCTATACAGGCTTAAGCTTTTAGATGGAATGATATTGATGGAAAATTTATGGAGATATAGAGATGAAAATAAACAGATTCAAGCAGACAATTTAATTACTTCATACATAACAAAAGAAGAATTTTGCAGCTATATCATCTATCCAGGCTTAAGCTTTTAGATGAAATGATATTGATGGAAAATTTAAGGAGATATAGAGATGAAACTAAACAGATTCAAGCAGACAATTTAATTAATTCATACATATCAAAAGAAGAATTTTGCAGCTATATCATCTATATGGGCTTACGCTTTTAGATGGAATGATATTGATGGAAAATTTAAGGAAATATAGAGATGAAACTAAACAGATTCAAGCAGACAATTTAATTACTTCAAACATAACAAAAGAAGAATTTTGCAGATATATCATCTATACAGGCTTAAGCCTTTAGATGGATTGATATTGATGGAAAATTAAAGGAGATATAGAGATGAAACTAAACAGATTCAAACAGACAATTTAATTACTGCATACATAACAAAAGAAGAATTTTGCGACAAGATCTTATCAATTTTGACCATGTAACTCATGGAGAGAATTCATATGTCTAATATCTGCCCTGCAGAAACTTACATAGTAGTAGTAGTACTCATGATGGGAGGAAGAAAAAAATGTAGATATAAAGTCAACATATATAATTAGACTACCCAAAAATCATTTACTTGTTCTCACATACCATTAACCTTCGCAGCCTTGTCGACCACCACCACCCCATCCTTCCTGGCTATGATCACGGACGATGCCAATCCGAGGAACATCCCGTGCTCGATCACCCCGGTGATCCTAAGGATCTCGTCACTGATCAGATTTAGATCCCCATGGATCCCATCCTCGAAGAACAGATCCACGATATAGTTCTTGTTATCCGTCACGAAAGGTTCCGATTTGGACTCGCTTTCGTCGAACGCGCTGGCTTTGGCGTTCGTGGCGGCGGTCCTGAGCTTGATGTTGAAGCCGGGCACGCCATCGAAGAGGGTCCGGAGGCGGCGGAGGGTGAGGGACCAGCCGAAGGGGATGACCTCAACGGGAACGGCGAGGCCGCTGACTCCGAGGCGGGGGACGAGCTTGGACTCGTCGACGATGACGACGAAGCGGCGGCTGGCGCCCTCAACCATCTTCTCGCGGAGGAGGGACCCGCCGCGGCCCTTGACGAGGTTGAGGGCCGGATCGACCTCGTCGGCGCCGTCGATGGACAGGTCGACGACCGGGTGGGTGTTGAGGTCGGTGAGGGGGATGCCGGCGGCCGCGGCGCTGGCGGCGGCCCACTCGGAGGTGGGGATGCCCACGACGTCGCGGAGGTGGCCAGTACGGAGGAGGGCGCCGATGCGGTCGAGGGCGTGCACGGCGGTGGATCCGGTGCCGAGGCCGAGAACCATGCCGGAGCGCACCAGTTCCACGGCGCGGTGGGCGGCGACTCGCTTCAGCTCGTCCTGGGACGGGCCGCCGCCTTGGGGTGCCAACATGAATGATTGGTTGCACAATTGAGGTTTAGGCGTTTCTTTTGCAATTAAAGAAAGAATTTGGAATAAATTGATTTTCAAATATTATAAAAGAATTTTTATTAATTTTTTTGTTATTTTTATTTAAAATAATAACACAAAATATGCATACTCTAACCAATTCGTTCATAAATTTTTAGGTAATTTATCCAAAAAATCACACTCATACTTTTTAAAAAAATCACACTAGTAGTCGGATCGATGGACGGACCGGTTCGATTCAATTGAGTTCTCGATCCAGATCAAATTGATTTTAGTTGGATCCTTGTGATTAAGTCTGTTTGATTATTGGTCGAGTGAATTAAGGATTTTTTAAGGACTTACGCTTACAAGCTATATTGAGCTAGTGTAACCTTAGTGTAGGCGATGATGAACTCCTTTCCTCTTTGGCGATTGTACTCGACTTTGCTCTTCGACTTTATCATCGACGAAAGTACTCGACTCCTATTTTCTCTAGCTTTGTCAATGTCAATTATAGGCGACAAAATCCTCTCTCCTTTGCTTCAACTTATATTCTTTTCCACTTGGACTCTTTTCCCTTTCGATTCATTAGTGTTGATTTCTCTTCATCAAGAGCCTTGATGACTATTCTCCGGCATTGTCCCTCTCTATGAGTTAATAATTAAATTGCGAAGATGCAAATCAATATACTATTTTTAGGGTATTTCAATTGATATGATATTGATTTAATTATAAAGATGCAAATTGTGGATTCATAAATCATGAGCACTTCATGTGTGTTATATATCTTCCCCTCTTATTGATATAATTTTAATTCAATTGTTAAGATACAATTGTGGATATCCAAATGCTATGTTAATTGAGTAATTTTTAAAGCATTTCAAATATGTAATGGGGTTGTATTTTTTAGTTCTTAAGGTGATGAGAAGACCTATAATAATAAGAGCACTTCAATTATGTTGTTTGTCACCTTGTTATTATCTTTTTACATGATATTTTGAAGTAATTATGATTTATACTCTTAGATATTTGTTATCTGTTTGCTAGTTCAGAATTGAAGTGCTCATGATGCTTGATAAAAATTCTAATGCATTAATCTAATTATTACATAAGATGGAAGAAGCTTTTAGGTTATCTTTTAGGTTATCTTTACCAGATTCCTGAAATAGATTTGATTTTAATTTTTTTTTAGTTTGGCATATTGCTTGATTGGAAAATAATGGTGCTGAACTCACATGTTAGGTTTTGTGATATATTTATGGTTGAATTCATCTTTCCTTTTTATCCTCTAAACTTGGGATTTAACATTCTTTATTTATAATATTTAATTTTATATATAAATAGAATGATGTCATTAAGTAGATCTCTTCATCAATGAAATGCTTACTATATATAAAGTCAAGTATTCCTCATTCATCACCCCATCCTATGTCAACCCTTCTTTATTATCCCGTGCTTTCTTGGCTATGACGTCACCATCATCACAATATAAAATTAATGATCATAGTTATATTCATCATTTTTAAGTGTTTTGTTTGTGGACCAAGTTAAGAGTGATATCTATTTCTTTTATATTGTGTCATCCATATATTCTTTAAAATGACATTATTTTATCACATAGTAAATATTCTTAACATCACCACAATGACAACCATCAACGAGAAGGTAGCGATGATCTTCTACCCCATTGGCAATTGTGATGATCAACCCCCTATCCAACAATGTTGATTACGACCACCGATACTTAATGCGAAGACGATAGTGACCCTTAGTCGTTAGTGATGATCATCATGATCACCGTAACTGAATGGGAAGGCAACGATTATGATTCGTTCTAGTATTAGGTTACGTCGACAAATGCTAATAAAGTTCTTGTTAACGATGGCAATGACGATGGCCACCACGATGGCGATCGTAACCAATAATAAGAAGGTTGACGATGACCTACTTCTTTTACGTTCTTATTGCAGTCATTGAACGAGATATGACAAGATAATTTGGAAGAAAAATAGGCACAATCTAGGCTTCAATTAGATCAAATCAAATATTTATATATATTTTTAATTGAATTCATTCGATTCATATTAAACAAATTGATTTAGACAAAAAAAAAACCCTGCAATCAAATAGGATCAACATATATTAACTATCATTTTTATATTTTATAGAGGGTCTTTGAAAAAAAAAAACCCATGCTAAAGACCAAATAAGAGAGCACCATTTGATCAAATCTCATTGTTGGTTTTTTCTTTTTTTTTTTAGTAAAATGCCTTAGATTTTTTATTATGTGATTGTTCGTGTTTTTCGAATACCAAATATAATTTGTTTTTCAAAAAAATAGAAAAGGTAATTCTCTAATGTCGATAAAATGGAGATGCAGGGGATCGAACCCTGTACCTCTCGCATGCAAAGCGAGCGCTCTACCATTTGAGCTACATCCCCGTTGTGTAAATGAACAAAATATAGTTTATATAATATTTTTTATAACAATAATTTATATTAATCATAATTAAGTTATATGGAAGTAATTAAATTATTATTTTTATGTGTGAACCCAAAGATATTTAAATCACTCATTCCTGTGTCACCCCTTGTTCATCATTCCGTGCTTCCGACGTCACATCCATTGTAATATATAATATATAGTTATTTTATCATATAGTAGATATTCTTAAGATCCTCATGACGATCGCTACGAACCGGAAGGCAACAACGACCTTCTACCCTATTGGCGATGGTGATCATAATCATCGAGGCTCAGCAAGAAGCCAAGGGTGACCTCCTACTCGATGACATTGATTACGACCATCGATGCTTAGCGGGAAGGCGATAGTAATCCCTTAATCGTTAGCAACGATCATCATGATCATCGTAGCCTAACAGGAAGGTAACAATTATGATTCGGTCTAGCAATAGATTAGGCCAACAAACGCTAACAAAATTTCAATTTAACAATAACGATGATGATGACGACCTTAATAGTGATCACAACTATTAAAATAAAATAAGGGAGCATCATTTGATAAAATCTCATTGTTGGTTTTTTTTTTTGGGAGTAAAATGCGCTAGATTTTTTATTATGTGATTGTACGTATTTTTCGAATACTAAAAATAATTTTTTTATCAACTAAACTATAAATAGTAATTTACTAATGTGGATTAAATGAAGATGCAAGGTATCGAACCTGTACCTCTCGCATGCAAAGCAAGCGCTCTACCATTTGAGCTACATCCCCGTTGTGTAAATGAACAAAATATAGTTTATATAATATTTTGTATAACAATAATTTATATTAATCATAATTAAGTTATATGGAAGTAATTAAATTATTATTTTTATGTGTGAACCCAAAGATATTTAAATCACTCATTCCTGTGTCACCCCTTGTTCATCATTCCGTGCTTCCGACGTCACCTCCATTGTAATATATAATATATAGTTATTTTATCATATAGTAGATATTCTTAAGATCCTCATGACGATCGCTACCAACGGGAAGGCAACAACGACCTTCTACCCTATTGGCGATGGTGATCATAATCATCGAAGCTCAGCAAGAAGCCAAGGGTGACCTCCTACTCGATGACATTGATTACGACTATCGATGCTTAGCGGGAAGGCGATAATAATCCCTTAATCGTTAGCAACGATCATCATGATCATCGTAGCCTAACAGGAAGACAACAATTATGATTCGGTCTAGCGATAGATTAGGCCAACAAACGCTAACAAAATTTTAATTTAACTATAACGATGATGACGACGACCATAATAGTGATCACAACTATTAAAATAAAATAAAAATAAAATAAGAGAGCATCATTTGATAAAATCTCATTGTTGGTTTTTTTTTTTTTTTGGGTAAAATGCGCTAGATTTTTTATTATGTGATTGTACGTATTTTTCGAATACTAAATATAAATTTTTATCAACTAAAATATAAAAGGTAATTTACTAATGCGAATTAAATGGACATGCAGGGGATCGAACCCTGTACCTCTCGCATGCAAAGCGAGCGCTCTACCATTTGAGCTACATCCCCTTTGTGTAATCAGACAAAATATATTTATATGATACATGTTTTAGGCCACAGTCCATGAACGGCCGACGAAGCACGGCTCATACAAATGGTTTCGTGCTCGGTACATTACCGTCCTATTCCGTGCACCGCTTCCTTCGAGCCGGAGAAATCCCAATCTCCAAAGCCCTCCCAAATTCCTTCACAAACAATTAGCACGCGCTCCGGCTACAACAGCGACACGCCAATCTGTTGCCATCGTCGCCGCCTTATCCGCACAAGAGAGAGACTCGAAGGCTCCCCTCGTCTCCGCTCTCGCCGCCGCCGCCTCGCGAAGTGAGTATGTAACGATGATTCCCGTTACTCCGACCTCCCCCTCCTCGGATATTTTCTTCCCACGGTGAGGTTGACCATGGGGAAATGGGCGCCAAGAAGGATCTCGGTTGTTTTATCTAGGGTTTTTGCCCCGGTCTCTGGTTCCGCTTCCTATATGTAATTGCGATGGAATCTTCGATCTCTTGATTTCCTCAACTGTTGATTCGTCGGTTATAATTGCAATTTTCCGGTCTCATTAATTTTCTATTAGGCGTAAGTTTTAAGGGTTCTTTTGCTTCGAGGGTTTGTTCCACATTCTGGGAATTGTTCTGCGAGTTTCTTTATTTCAGGTGGTTGGAGAAGTAGAACTGTAACTATGCAAGAAACTCGCGTGGTCACTAAGCAAGCGTTCAATATTGCATCTTTTAGGGAATATTTTCTTTTTCTTTGTTGTAGCGCTCACTATTACATCAGTGTGAATATTCTGTATTGTACGGTTTCGAATGAGTTTGGTGCTACGTGATCGCAATTAAGACAGGTGTCAACTGCGAATAGTCTTTTTCAGTTGTTCTCCAAAATTTCTGGCATTTCTTGATTCAATATATGGATAATTGGACCATGTTCTATTGGATGCTTTGCAGTTTGTGTTTTGATAGTCTTCATTGATTGATTTCTCTCTCTTGCAGGTTTGCAATTTTGCAGGTTTGCAATCGGAAAAAGCAGGGATCTTTACTTGACGGGCTTGCGATATATTGCAAGTTCTTATGCTTTTCCTTAGATAATGATCTTTTAGGTCATAGATAGCCATATATCGGTTTGATTTCCAAGGGAACTCCAGGCCATGGACAACTTGTACAAACAACCTTTACCTCCTGGAGTTGATCCACTGTCGAATGCATCATCATCCGCTGCTACACCAAATACGCCAGCTCCTTGTTATCCTCCACCCTCCATGTACAATTGTGAGGGGCACTCGAACAGTTCAGCGAGTCTTTTCCCTGTTAGGCCCTCTAGTATATCTTTTCCTTCTCAAAACTTTCACCACTCACAACCCTTTTTCTACAATGCACCTGGTCCTGCATCTCTTGCTCAAAGTGTACCAGCACAAACTTGTTTTAGTTCTTCACTTGCCTCTTCAGAACCTCATGCTGAAAGCAGGAGCTCCACTATTTCTACATCTAATCAATTTAGTCAAAGTTTACCAGAGTTGACAAAGCAGAGTCCTGGTGCAGAGTCACAAGTCAGAGATGTAAATTTGGCACATCATGGAGTAGATGCGGTAGATAATCACTCTGTGCCATCCAGTGCCTCTAAAACCGTTGAACAGGTTCCGTTAAATATGTATGGCGAAGGTTCCAGAAATATTGAAACTGCTGCTCAGCAAGCTGTATTGCTTGAACAAGTATGGTGTCCTAACCCTCTGATTCAATTTAATATCTGTTTTTTGTGGTATTCAGTATTGTTAATTTGTCATAACCAGGAAATCGTTACCCAACAAGTTATACAAAATCAGAGGTCAGCCTTTGTTCTTCTCCTATTACTTGTTGCTAGATGCTTTGTGATAGTAGGGAGTGCTGCGAAAAAAGTAATTATAATTTGATTTATAACAACAGACAAGCAAGAGGCACAACTGAACCTTTGGAAGATAGAAAAGACATACTTTCTGGGCGATATGATCCCAACTCATTAAAGGTTGGTGATTTGCATGTCATGCCTTTTCAGAATATTTTAAAGCTAAAATTGCGGGCTGTAGATCATTTATATTCTTGGAAGTTCTATATTGTAAATTTTAGTCACTTCCTTTGTTTGAATTAGGAGCATTTGTTGAAGATGACCACTGTTCACCGTGCTGAAATGGCCAATAAGCGTGGAAAGTTGGTCCCTCATGACAATGGTTGGTCAAACATTTAAAAACATGTTTGATGATATTTGAAGTTTCTTATTATCTTAAGTTCATCAATTTTTTAGACTATAGATGGTTTATTGAAACTTAGCACTCGACAATAGAAAACTCAGAATCCTTGTGATTTTTACACATTACATTAGTGCAATACATCAATCTTTGCATTTTGTTTTTGAAGTTTGAAATGGAGATAAGCTCAAGTTATTTTGAAATGGAAATTTGTGGTTGACCTTCTGGTCTTGAGGTGAGAAAGTAAAAGACTGCTTAAGATCATAGCTTATGAAATTGAGAAATACTGAAATTTTATTGGAGCGGTTGGTCTTTTTCCTTGGATATCTATTGTACACTAGTTTCTTCACAGTATCCTTGGATTAAAGATTTTCCTGTTGTTATAACTTTGATGGTTCAAATGTTATACTCATTCCATTGTTCGACATCCATCATCATTCAAGCAAGACAGGATATAAATGGAACAACTTATTTGATCCAAAGCAAACATGCTGGGTGATATGATGGGCACATTCCAACATGGCAATCCTTGAATCTTCTCTTTTCTCTTTGTACCAAAGAAATACATAAGGAAGAAAAGAAATTGAACATCACAATTTTCTGCAAATCACATACAGAGAGATTGATTGCATCAGAGTGTTTCTAATCCATCATTACATATGCCACAAAATAAAAACCTCAGTGTTCTTCTATTTTAGAAGTTCAATATGACATGCTCTCCATTAGTTATCTTTTTCGTTTGCTTGACAAAAAATGATCTTCTTCTGTATTGCTAATGTATTATATTGAGCCTTCCAGCTGTTATCTCAGGCAATGTAGAAATTGGTAATGGCTATGGTGTACCAGGCGGCGGTGCTTATTATGCTGCAATGTCCTTTACTGTTCAATCCAGTGAGATTCTTTACTTTGATATATTTTTCCTCTAAAGTGAATAACTTTCTGAATGAAAAAAATTAACTAGCAACTGCCACATCAGGAAAAACAAGAGATGAGACTCTTAGTGCGAACTTCACAACAGAGGATTCAGAACCGGAGGTTGCTCGAAAAGGTTTACCTGAATATTTGAAGAAGAGATTAAAAGCAAGGGGAATTCTTAAAGATGACAAAGCTGATGATAATTCCACAACAACTGAGAATGCATGTCCTAATTTCAATTAGTATACTCTTAAGACATAAAGAGTAATCTATTTGTATGATTTTGCTAGATGTGATGAATGATTCAATATTCACCGTGTTACAGAATTTGGAGCATCACCATCTTCAAGCCAAAAGCATCTCTGTTTTGCCTGTTGGTTGGGTAAGCATATACGTTGGAGTGCAATGCTACTTCTGATCAATTTTCACATTTGTTTATTGTTTCATAAAGCTGACTCATTGTGATTGTATAAGTTTTCATAGTTGTGTTCCTGTGCCTTAGCCAGATTGATCAAGGCCATGATAATTTTGTCGTAACAAAAGAATTTCAGATATTAACTTATGAATTTCCTTCCATGCAAAAGACTACTGCAAGATAAGTGCTAGAAATTTATGAGAACGCAATTTTTGATGTTGCACTTTTACTGCAAGATAAGTGCTAGAAATATATGAAAACACAATATTTGATTTTGCACTTATAAGATATTCTATTAAGCTGAGCCAGTTTACTGTCATTCCTTTGCATAAACAAATGAATCTCTGTATAAAAACTCTATAATATTTAGTAGATCTAAAATAATAAATAGACACAGTCACTTGTAAAATTTAACACCTCATAAATCTATTTAAATGGAAACCTTGATCTTGCATTTGGTGCGGAAATCAGTTTAATTTGAGTTGTTGCACTTATATAAAAAATGGTTTGTGTGGCATATATGGAAGTAGTATTTCTTTGTTGTCTTCAAGTTTTGTTGCAACCTACTCTATGTAATCAGTGACTAAATAATACCTTTTTATCTTAAGGAAGTATATGATTTGCTAATCAGCTGTTGGCCTTTTCATTCTTAAGATCTTCTACGAATTAGGTCATGGTAAATAACATCCAAATATTTCATACCGATTTCTTCTTGTTATTTTTAGGTTGAGGCTAAGGACCCAGCTACTGGATCTTCATATTTCTACAATGAAAAGACTGGAGAGAGCCAATGGGAGCATCCTAGTGCAAATGGTAGTTGTAAACTTGACTCGTTCCGGCCACCTTTGCCAGAGGATTGGGTGGAGACCACTGATGATTCTACAGGCATGCAAAAAAACCTTGTTTAGTTCCAATGAGATGATAGGAACGCTATACAGCTTATGGATATGTAATTTTCACCATACAATAAGTTTTTCTTTTGATTTTCAACTTAATTTGTACTTATTGTGGTGTCTATGCAAATTATCTCAGCTTTGATTTATAATATTATATTTTTACATTGACTTTCAAAATTTTATTTTGCTTTGCATATTGTGTTTTGCTCAAGCACCTAACTTATGGACTTGTTAATTGCAATAGGACAAACATACTACTACAACAGAAAGACATGCATCTCGCAGTGGGAGCGGCCTATTTCAAGTAGCCATGTCAGTTCATCAACGAGTGAAAGCATTGCTACTGAACATGAATCTTCCAGAACTGGTGACTTAAATCATTTGACGAAATGTATGGGATGTGGTGGATGGGGACTTGGTGTAGTTCAACCTTGGGGCTATTGCAATCACTGCACACGGTATTCTTCACAATTGTGCTTAGTATTGATCTCTAGAATGCTTATTTCTGGTTTCTCTCTTAGGCCATATCGGCTCGAGCATGTATCTTGTATAACAAAATTCTGTTTTGTTACAGGGTTTATAATCTTCCTTTTCAACAATATTCATTACCTTGTTTACAGAGCCAGCAACAGGGAAAAAATGAAGCTAGCTCAAAAAAACAGTCAGAAAAAGCAGATTCAAAAAAGAGGTATCTTAATTTCTCACCATACAAACACCCTCAGTTGCTTGATGTTTACAACTGAACAAGCAAGATTGGTCTGTACACATGTGAAAGTTGTTTGCCTGTGGCACTATTTAGTCAATTGCCCATGCAGGTCAAGCAGGCCTCCACTTGGAAAGAGTAATAGAAGAGATCACAAAAAACGAGTTTTCTCTGAGGATGATGATTTGGACCCAATGGATCCTAGCTCTTATTCAGACGCTCCACGCGGCGGATGGTATGTTTCATGATCCTTAATGAAAACATGTATTCTTCCTTAGTAGGGGGTAGATGAGCAGCATTGGATTGATTGTTGTGTCATTTTAGTTGCTTTTCTCCTTGATCAGACAAACTTCTTCAGTAAGCTACTGAGATATTTGGTATTTCTACATCTGCCACTTTTGTTTTTTCTTTATTATGTGTAGTTATTGGATTGGTTTTTGGAATAGCTAGTTTTCATTTTGGAATAAGAAAAGTCATTTGAACTATGGCTTAGGATGATTCATATTTTTAGAGCTAGTGAGGAGATAGAAGACTACCTCATTGAATAGGAATAGTCTCATGAAAGTGGAACAGTGTTCTTTGTGCATAGAGCTGCTGCTGGACAGCTGTAAAAGGCAAATTCAAGTGGTTCGCAAATTTAAAATGAAGATATGGTAGCATGTCACCTTAATGTCCAGACAATACAATTTCTCTTAATGTCTCGACAATTCAATAAGGAAAATTAAAAAATGAAAACAGAATCGGGATGTACATGTCACCTTGTCAAATTTCTTTTTCATATCATTTCTCTTTGTCCTTATTGGTCTTGCTTAATACGGCATGCTTCTTCTGCCTCTGTGCAATCACGTAAAACCTTCTTATTCAGAATGCCAAGCTTCACAATGTGTTTTTCTTTTCTGAATCACTGGCTTTATAGTTGGAAATTTCCTACTATGTTCAAGAGATGGACCCTTGGGTTTCCTGTTTCAGATATTCGAGTTGTCTACACTCTACAGAACTTTCATCCTTACCATCTTCACAATTATTGTCTTTTCTGCAATTTTCTCTTGGTTAAATTAGTTCTGTGATGGAATTTTGATTGGTCAATAGTATCTGATCAGTTTTTTGGTTGTACAGGGTCGTAGGCCTTAAAGGGGTGCAACCACGAGCAGCAGATACGACTGCCACTGTAAGTTTTCCTTCATTAACATGTCCATCCTACATGTGGTGTGTTATATTCTCCTTAGTCACCTTCAGTGCCAATGAATTTAATTGTTACTTTAAGTGGGATATCGCAAGTCAACATTACCATTTTCACGATAATATGGAAGTATGATTAATGATTTTGATACTGTGCAATTGATGATGGGGGAAAAAAATCAAATCAGCAATGTTTTTGTGATCCATGATGATCTACCACACCTACTGGTAAGGTAGCAACACGATAGGAGACCCTAAGAACATGAGTCTTATGAAAATGGTTCTCTCTACATCTGCATGGTACATCTAGAAAGGGTAACTATTCGAGCATATAGCATATCTGTTCATCCGTAAATGATTTCCAAGAAAGAAAATATTCTAGGTGAATTCCAGTAACTACCATGACGTGTGAATCGTCATGTTAAAATACCAGTGAACTACTGTTAGGCAATTACTTGGGGACAATTACCTCTAATATCCAATGATATATGACAGCTATCTTGTATTATACAACATTTATAATTGTCATTTGTTTATAATTATGATCAACTATGAGATACAACTGTAATATGCTTGGTAATTATACTCATGAATTTATATTCTTATCTGGGATAATCATAATTGTTTTCTGTGTTTTCCTAGTATTGTAATCATGCTGGAAACTATGTTCAGTTAAAGTTTACCCAAGAAGATCAGTAAGAGTTAAACATCTTATTTACCGAAAATGCCTGTGGTGTTGCCGGCACATGGAAGGATTTAGTATTCTGCAAAATCTTCTTAATATTAGTAGGAGGTTTCTACGATAATGGATTATTTTGTTTGTAAATGTTATGATACAACCTAGTCGCATTTGTATTCCATGACCACAGGATTTGTGTCTAAAGAAGATGGTTCTTATGTTGGCTTTTGTTCTTGCACTGCAGGGTCCTCTCTTCCAGCAGCGCCCCTATCCTTCTCCTGGTGCTGTCCTGCGGAAGAATGCTGAAATAGCTGCGCTGAGCAAGAAGCAGGGTTCTCATAATCGCATGACACCCATCTCTAAGAGAGGGGATGGAAGTGATGGACTCGGTGATGCAGATTGAGCTTCCTGTGCTGGGGCTCCGCCAGCTTATTGATATACCAAAGGCACAAAGAAGAATGTTGCTTGAAAGAGAGAGAAAGCGCACGGTAAATTCCAGACAGCCATATCTAACCCACAAATCCTGGTCTTGCACCACTTTCTAGTGCGCACTTAAGGGGCTTGTAAATGGATTTAGAAAGGATGCATTTTATGGGTTCCCATCTAGACCGCCTTTTTTTTTTTTTGGTGGATTCACAATTTATATTACAAGTATGAATGCAAGTACGAAAAATATTTCTATTGAGACATCCTTTAGTACATTGTTGAGTCTCGAACATCTTACCCATCACTTAACATAATAAAAAAAATTAATAGATCTTTAATGTAGAAATTAGGTTTTCTCGATTGTAGTTATAAGTCCATAGATTCGAGTTAATTATATATTAGTTAGATTTCTTTAGTATCTTACTATTTAGATTTAAAACAATTATAATATAATTTTTATAATTATATAAGTGAAATATCTAATTTTATTTATCTTAATATCATTAGTTTTATCGACGTAAATATGAAAATGATAGGTAAAAAGATAATTTTAATATTTTAGTTATGTTTTCAATGATAGTGGATAATGGTGTCCTTGGGGGTTATGGGTGGTTGTTGTGAATGAAAATGAAAAGCGACGATGAGAGATGAGGTAAAGGGAGTGGATGATGTAGATGTAGATGTAGATGATGCTTTGCATTTGCTTCGGTGTTGCTAGGCAACTACGTCGAAGTTGCTCGGTAATTGTGTCGGTGTCGACGCATATGTAGAGTGATGAAAGGACCATTCAACATTTGATATATGCATTAACATCGATGCAAATGTATAACAGCGTCGCTATGCATCTGAGTGACGTCGACACAGTTGTAAAGCGACGAAAGGGTCATTCAACATTTGCGTCAATGTCAATGCAGATGTGGAGCGATCCTTTCGTCGCTCTACATCTCTGTTAGCGACCCTTTCGTCGTTTTGCATCTGCGTTGATTCAGTTACCGAGTGATATTGACATAGATGTAGAGTGATGACATCTACGTCATTCTCTTCCTTCTCTCCCTTTGTCTTATCTCTCATCGTCGCTCACCTTCCTCATTCACAACAACCACTCGCAACCGTCAAATAATATCATTGTCTGTTACCATCGAAAATGTAACAAAGATATTGAAACCATCTATTTACCTATCATTTTTATGCTTCCATAGATTTAATATTAAAACAAATGAAACCAAATGTTTTACTTTTATAGTTATAGATTTTAAAAAAAAATTACTACAAGGAGTAGTCTGTAATTAGCCACAACAGATTCATATATTTTATTTTTCAAGATTATAACTGCACAAACTTCAATCCATCTCTAGGAATTTAATTACAGATCATACAACCATACTAACAAAAAATAACACGATTAATTTGACTAAATTGCCAACCATAGCATTAAAAAAGCAAAGTTGCTGAAAGTTTGTAAACTGAAGAAAAAAGAACAGAGACGAGAGAACTCAAGAAATGAAACGAGATTTACATAACCAGGAGCAGGGGCTAAAAGCTCCACAACTGTATCAATTGCTAGTTGATATAAGAGACAATCTACAGCCTATTTTCTGGTTGAACAACAAACACATACAATTCCAGATTGTTTAGTTTTAAGCACAAATCATGACATTTAGACGTAAAGCAATCTGACATGGCACAAGAATGGCTAATATATAGTACCATACAAATCGTCGCTCAAAGGATAGTTCCAATATGGTTAGTTTGAGAGAAACCCACATGAAAACTATATTGACTACATTACACGGATCGACTATAACATAAAAGTAAGAGCAGTTGCGTCCTACTACTAGATAACTTGGTAGGATGTAAAATCGACATCTTCTCGGGTTACTTGATTTGTCTGCTGATCTTACAAGTTCTTCCTTTTCTTCAATGAATCTTCAATCAGTCCAGCACAAAAATAGGAAAGCCACAACTCACAGACCCTTCTTGACTGGGGATGGCCAAGACAACCTCCTTTGACCAATATCATCTGTCGCCTCCATTGGATGGCCCTCTGCATTTTGCTGCCTCCAACCGTCAACCATCGAATCATCTGAGCTTGTCATGCCTTCTCTCCAATGGGGAGGCGTAACATACTTGGAATCCCCTCCTGAAGAGTCACTAGGTGTTGTTGGCAAGGAAGAGTTACTGACACGAAACTGTTGCAGGGTTGCAAATGAATCCCTCATAGCAGACATGGCTTCGAAGAACCGGGTGCATGATGCCAGGGCAGCAGGAATAGGACGCAACATTTCCTTCAGAAACAGTGACAAAATCTCAACCACCATAACAATGGGTCAAAAAAATGGTGCACAGATTTCACAAAGCAGAATGTGGTTAAAACAACATGGCACCCAGCATAAGTTAAAACCAAAGTGAATGATCAACCTAATGATCTAATTTAAATTTCACATAAGAGTCCTTGTATCACCCAGAACTTGATGAAATATAGAACTCTCTTTAAGATAATTTGGCCAAGATATGCATCTCTAAATTTGTCCAAAACATTGAATGACATCAAGGTGGAACATCGATGCCACCCGGTCTAACGTGGCATTGTGCCTTTGCATTGCTTTGCTGCCTAATTTTGCTCACACCACATGATAAGTTTTCATCCAAACAGGGCCCAAACCAATCAAAGCTGCCTGTTTCAACCAATTTAGATTGAAGCATAAGGTTTCAGTTGTCATTTCTCATGAGCTACATCTCTTGACTTATTTAGATTGCCGGTCACTTCCATTGGTCCAAACAGACAAATTGATCTGACATAATCAGACATCAAGAGACTCCTTACAAGAAATTAAAATGAATAATTTAATTTAAGGACAGCCATATAAATTAGACCCAATCATGTATGCTGCAGACTTTGTGGAAATGGCACGATTATAAATGTGTGAACAAGAATTAATTGATGCTGCAATACATCATTATGTCAGTTAAGTAAGCCGATATTTAAGTGATATGAGAAACATTTCCATATAACTGAAAGCAAGCAATTAGTGAATGCCAATAACTGAAGTGTACACAAAATGACACATTTAACATACCCCCCATACTGTAGGTGATTCTTTGAAATTCTGGCACCACTGGAAATCACCAACTGCTGCTGTCAGAGCTCCATAATCACTAGCAGCCTTCAGCAATAACTCTGAGAATTGTTTCTGGAAGATATGCAAGGATTAGGGACTTTTAATGATTTATAATGGCTACAAACTAATCTTTCCTGCAAAAGACAATGTTTCCCTACTTAGATTGTGGATTTTAGAACAATGATTCCATCAAAATAAATGGTCTTACTGTGGGATACAAAATGATGCATCGGTTATATTTGATCTCAGTGAAGTCGGATCTGTGATATCAGCTTGTTAATAAGAAAAAAGAGCTTATGGGTTGCAAGCACATGCCAACAGGTTAACCTGGTACATTCACATATAGCTTCCATGCTTTTCTGTATCATGCTGATCATGGGGAAGAAAAATTTTCATGCATGGGGCATTGCAGGCCTGGTAAATGGATGGGCATTAAGATATGCTTTTAAATTCATTTCATTATGAAGTATATATATATATATAAAATAAAAGTTTTTCTTAAAGTAGTACATATTATTACCAAATAAGCATGGAGAATACAAAATTGCACTACTTCGTAAATTTACTTTTTAGTTTGTGATGAATTTAAAGAAATGGTATTACATATAAAGCATATTTTCAAATAGTAATAGTACCTTAGTTTTAAAATCCAGTTTATTAATCGATTCATAATAAATTATCATACGATAATAGACCTTAGTTTTAGATCATACAGCAAATGACATGATAAAGAGTCCAGACCCTATTTTTATATTTATTCAGTAAGAGATGACATAGCAAAAACAAATCTATCCATGATAGAGAGTTCAAATTCCTTCATTTTTAGATATACAGCTAGTAAAATGCATTGAGCTTACATTAAGTCACTTACAAGACAATTAAGAGTATATTAGTAGACCTAAGTGTAGAAAGAAAAAGAAAATACATGTCAACAATAACCACAACAGGATACCTCACAGAAGTATTAGATGTCCCAAACCACTTGCGCTAACTAGTCGACTTAAGTGGTGCACACATATCTAATCATAATGTTCATATGTTTGTAGGTATTATTCATAATATTGTCAGAAGCAAACATAATTAGTGCTTATGTACATGTAAAACACTGTCCAAAATGACAACTTGATTATAAACATGCCTGTGTACTAAGATTTTCACCTGATATTCAGCTTCCACAGGAATGCAGTCTAAAGAATATGGTTGCTGCAATCTTGCAATGATCCGATCCTGAGCAAATAAAAGTGCTATCATCAAATGAGGTACAGCCTGAAAACATATGTCAAACATATACTAAATACACACTCATCAGATGCTTAGAATAGACATGATAGGGTGGTGGCTGTCAGCTTAAGGCAAGACAAACCTTCAAAATTTCCAACCATGGTAATCTCTCAAGTGGTAAGAGCAATTGGGAAAATAGGGAGACAACAGGCTCCACAAAATCTATCTTGTACTTATCCTTCTTTTTTAAAATAAAGACATAAAACAATGCAACCAAAGTGTACATAAAAAATGGGTGTACATCTTTCACTGGTGGCCATCAGCATAAGTCAAGACAAACCCTCAAATTTTCCAATCATGGTAATCTCACAAGTGGTAAGAGCAAATGGGCAAATAGGGAGACAACAGGCTCTGCAAAATCTATCTTGTACTTATCCTTCTTTTTAAAATAAAAACTGACATAAAACATTGCAACTGAACTGTACATAAAAAATGGGTGTACATCTTTCACTGAGACTGAGATTTTACAACACATCTACAGTCAAAGAACTCAAATGTCAGGAAAAGATGATCACCTTCCACAAGTTTGCAGCTGGTTATAAAAGATTCCAACAATAAGCAGACAGAAACCAGAAACTGTAAGAAAAAACACAAACAAAGGCCTCACACAGAGGTGAAAATAAGAAAAATCAAGTGCAGAAAAGATATGCAGCTATGTTTGGATATATTTGATAACCTAAAACATCTGCACATGTAATTCTATGTAGTAATTATAATGAAGAAATACGTTTAAGTTTATAGTTTTTTTCCCAATTCCATACCTTGTTCTGAATGACATCTTTCAAAATAGCAGTAATTCTGGCCAAAGACTCACATTTCTTTTCCATTTCACTAACATGGGTTAGATGAGCAACATTCTTATCATCCTGAAGAAATAAAAATATAAAAAAGAATAGCTTGATGAATAATTGTGAATGGCCTCAAAATATAAGCAATAAACAAAGACAAATTAATCGTATCACATGTTTATAATCCAAAGGAAGAAAATATGTACTGATAATTTTCTTTGTTTCTGGTAAATATTTATTATAATGTTCACTGAAATATTAACTTCCAACAACAAGCATTCCAGGGATTTAAATGGGACCAGCAATTGTACAGGAGAGGTTAAAGTCAGTGACATGGCATGTGTAGGTAACACCATGGAAATGGCACATTATGGCTGAGTATACCTTATCATAGTGGACCCATGACAGCAATGGCCCAGATTGTCATGTCAATTCATGGAAATTTTAATGATTCCACATAGCAGACTGAAGACAACAGCATGTCGCATGAGAGTAATTCTATCACTCCATGTTTGACATAATTTGTGATTGGCTGTCAACCTATTGGCAACCCTCTAATTGTGGTTCCTAATTCAAGCTGAGGAAAGTTTCAGCAAGAGAGGAAGCATAAAAGGTTTGTTAGCAATTTGGAACATTCTTATTTGGAGCAACTTCAACAAAATGTTAGACGAAAGAAGAGTAAAAAAATCAGTCTTATAATTTTATAAGAAGCAATGAACATCTCAATGGATGAATAAACTCGTGCAATGTGCATCTCAATATATGAATAAACTGATGAGTCTATAGAACATTGTTGCCTAAGTCAATGCTGCCACAAAAGGATCTGTTAGTAAGTCCACAAAACAAGATGAAATAAATCGGAGGTGCCAGGAGAGGTATAGGAAGAACTTGTGAAGATTTTGGTAGAAACTATAGAAAAGAAATTGGTGCCCCTTGAATTTGCCAACAAAACTGCCCGTAACAGAACTCAATAACATGAACAGATCCATGAACCTGAACCAGTGTAGCAAATTACAGGCATTCTTATAGAATGCTGGAGTTCCTACTTTATATCTATTCTAAAATCTAAATATCCAATATTTCATACATTCTATTTTGTTCCAGTTTACATCTAAAAGAGCTTTATAATGCAAATCAGTAGCTAAAAACTTGAAGTATCTTAAAGGTATTTTAAGATGCCTCTCATATATGTCTAGCAGAACACACTCAAGTGTCATAGGCATTCACAATCTCTTGGTGTCATGAAGTGAATCTACTTCTGATTATACAACTGACCATTTCAAAAAGAATTTAATAAAAATGACTATTTGAAAATTTAGTGCTACATAATGGCATGCAGTTAGTTATGAAAGTATGTGTGAATATATATTTTTTCTGCTATTCAATTTAAGTATGTTGCAGCAAAATCACACAACAAAGACTCTTGTGTGGATCTTTATTTCTGAAAGCACTAGATGACTAGTGGCCACTGTATGTTCACTAGGATGTACAGAATCTTCAAATTTGTAAACACTGAAACATTGAGTAACCCACCTCACTTAAAACAAAAGATTATAAGACCAACATATGTGCATGAAGAGATCTCGCTAAATAATATCAAAAAATTTAAGTAAATTATTATAATTGTTTAAACATCCATATATATTTGTGCTACGTGTTATGATTTGTGATAATATTTTTCGTCATTTTAGCAGTTGAAGTATGAAAGAAGAATAACAATAACAAAACGACTTGGAAATATATGATGGTAGTTAAAAAGATGAATCGCACTCAAGAGTTCAAAAGAAAATGTATATGGAAGCATCTGCTTTTTCACCTTTCGTCCTTGAAGTTCCACTTGCAAATTGGCTATATTTCTCTGTACAGTAGTAAGCTCTCTCAAAACCCTTATCAAGTCATCTCCTTTATCCGCAGCAATGGAATTTGACAAGCCCTGTTGATCATCCTGCAAGTGTTCACAGGATAGGATTTTGCGTGATGAATTGAGCATATAAGTGGCTAAACCATTCAGCAAAACAAATACATCCTCAAAAATTGTATACCCTTTGAAAGAAACCCAATTCTTGGGGATCGAAGTAGTTCGATCATGAGGAAACTGGACGAATTGAATATGAAGTCGAAAACAGAAGATTTAATGGATTCAAGAAAAATTAAGGGCAAAGCGAAGATTTATGACCTGGACAGGAGGGATGGGGAAGCCGAGATCGGAGGCGATGGCGAGGGCTTCGGCCATGCCGCCGAGCCGCCTGGGGGCCTTCTTCCCCGCGCCTCCCGTGTCGCTCGACACCGACATTTCGGCGATCCGATCCCGATCTCTGGAGGAGGGGGAGGAAGAGGAGGGTGGAGAGGGAGTTGTTGGGGTATGGGGAGGTGGGTTGCTGTAAATTGGGAGGGGAGAAAGGAGCTATCCGAGGAGGAGGAGGAGGAGGAGGAGGAGACGGGGTAGTCGGGGTATCGGAGGTGGGTTGCTGTCGATGGGGTGGTTGTCGGTCGGGAAGGGAAGACGGAGGAGGGAGGAGGAAGGAGAGGGCTGTCGGGGAAGCTCGAGAGGATCCCAGTAATATAAATGATGGTAAATCAAATGATGCAGACCTTAATGATCGGAAGAGATGGGGAAGTGGGATGGAGAGGTGGTGGTGAAGGTGGCACGCGGGGGAGCCGGTGAAGGGAGACGAGGCAGTGAGTGGCTTAGGGTTTCTTTTCACCGCCGTCGAACGGCGACGAGTCGGGCTTCACCACCTATTAACGGGTCGGATGGATCGCGCTCGAGAATTAAACACACAGAAGCCTGACCCGAATCCGACCCATTAGCGGGTTAGGAGTTAGAAATCGACCCGTGAGCTTGTCGGGTCGAATCTTTTATTCCGATTCCACACTCTTGCACAAATATCAAATAATTATTAGTACTTTTGAAAGAAAACCTCTAATCCCTTTATTATACTCTATTGCTGATAAAAGTTTTTAGATTTCAGTTATATATATATATATATATATATATGAGAAATTTAAAATAGATAAAATTCTTGAAAAAAATCTCGTAAAATTAGCCCTTGCCACATAAAAATATCATTTTACTCATTCATCCATCAAACCCACTCGTTGCCTCCCACCTGCATTACCTCTTGAAAAAAATCTCGTAAGTTCCAAAATTTTCCGTTGAGTGCCCCAACTTGAAAAATTAGCCCTTGGCCACATAAAAATATCATTTTACTCATTCCTCCATCAAACCCACTCGTTGCCTCCCACCTGCATTACCTCTTGAAAAAAATCTCGTAAGTTCCAAAATTTTCCGTTGAGTGCCCCAACTTAAAAAATTGGCCCTTGGCCATATAAAAATATCATTTTACTCATTCCATCAGACCCACTTGTTGCCTCCCATTTGCATTGCCTACTCATCCTCTCTATATTGTCTCTACCATCGCCCCTATGTCTTCATCAGACGCACGAGCATCGTGGGCATGGGCATCCATGCCAATCCTTGTTGTCCTAGCTAGACCCTAAGGGCATTGTACTCTCGAAATAGGTAGTCGGTGGGACTAGCCCTCTTGTGAAGATATGGGCAGTAAGGAAAGGGAGGGGAGTAGTCGGCAAGGCCAACTCGCTCACGAAAGTGTAAGCAACCAGAGGAAAGGATGGAGCTGTCAATAGAGCTAACTCGTGCATGGTGGCGTAGAGATGACCAACGAGGCCAATCTGCAGATGCACGGAGAGGGGCGATCGACACGATCGACGGTGATGGTCGATACAAGTAGGATGGTCATTTTAAAAATATATATACTTGATAAAAATTTCTTAAAATTGGGACACTATATGAAAAAAAGAATTTCCTATATAACACTCTTAACTTTCAGAAATTTTCATTGAGTATCTTTTTTGAAGTAAACGACTAACGCACTGTACTAATCATCGCCCTTTGCTTTGTCAATCTTCCCTCTCTACGCACGCACGGGCTGGCCCCGCGGATCACACACTAGTGCCTGAGAAGAGTGAATTTGAAGTCATATATAAACTGTGAAGAGTGAAAGGTCAGCAGCCAAGCGCTTGCTTTAACTTGAATTGCTTAAACATCAAGATTTAGTATCCAAGCCAATGCTCAATGATGGACTTTGATACTCCTTCGCATCGTCATGATTTAACAATCATCATTAATTTTACTGTACCCACTAAATGCAGTTGCCCTTTCGTCTGATCACTACATTAGATTCTCATTAAACAATTTTCTGCTTGTTTGCAGAGAGCCACTTGGATTTGGGCTTGTCCGATTTGTTGATCCTACTGATGCAGCTGAAGCTAAGTATCATATGGATGGACAGATCCTTCTTGGCAGGGAACCGACTGTTGTATTTGCAGAGAAGAACAGAAAAAAACCATTCAAGATAATTTTTGTGTTTTGTTGGTAAAATTCTTCAGATTTGTTGATCTTGAAAGTTGTAATTTGCTTTCTCTTTGACAGGTCGGCTACGCCCCGAGAGAGAAGGGAGCACAGAGAAAGAGGTCATATTCCCAGTCTCCTGCAGGCAGCAGGTCGAGGACTCCGGAGGATCATCACCCACGAAGAGAGAGGCTTGGTAGTCATTCCCTTCATGTTTTCTCAAGCTTCCAACCCTTGACTTGATCTGCACCACCACTGCAAAGCGTCATGATGTATGTCTGTGGCGTCACTGAGAGAATGGGATATGTCATGTTCTTGCATCTAAACAGTCTGGAAAGGTCATGGATGTCTTTGGTGTTTCCTTTCATTTAAATGCATGGAGTTGTAGTTGGATCCATCTTTAATGGCCACCCATCATTTATTTGGGAGGAGTTATGCGGCACAGTCAGTCCGTTAAAAGATTGCAGTCGTTTGCTGTTGTGTTCTCTTCTTCTGCATCAAACAACCGACGCTTCTCCAGCTGCGGTACGCTTCTCTCTGGGGTCTCCGCTGTCTTCTTCTTCCTCTTAAAAGGCTGCAGGAACGACGATGACAAACGAACGAACATGAAAACGATTGACTGCATGAACAAGCTGATCCTTATCTTTCACCGTCGGTTGCCTTCGGTTTCCAGTTGAACGAGATGCCTCGTTGGCTGCTCTCGACGTGCGGTGCAAACGGTTCTCATGCTTTTACTTTTCCTTTGTCAACCAGTTCGGCGTTGACTTCCACAATGTCAACCCAACGCATAATTTACATTAGGATTTGTAATATTTTGATTTCTTAATTAGAGCCACATCGAATTTGGATAAAAAAGCTCATGAAATTTTTTAACAGGTCTAGTGATAATAATTTTTTTTAAAAAAATTATATGAGAAGCTTTACAAATGGCTTTAAGCCCAAGTTTGAATTTAAGTTGAACTCAAGAAAATATTTTTTATTTTTATTATTTTAGTATAGTTACAAATCTGACTTTTGATGAAGATACAAAATATGAATCCCGTGTTGTTATAACATTTACAAGAAGATTTTTATTCACTATTTTGAATTTATGTTTTATATTTTTCTGTATCGAGGTTTTTCTTTTCTAATAATTCATAAATATGTGTTATTATTTTATGGTCATATATATATATATATATATGTATATCGGGTGATTTCTCTAGAAAAATCTCTCGGGCTTTGTAGTTTGAAATTTTCTATCTAGTGCTCCTATTTTTTATAATACCTATAATATCTTTTTAACGTCTTGCTCTCATCATATCAGCTGAGTTGTTATAATTTTTTTTCATTCTACTAAAGTCATCAATATAGGTGTCGTGCATATCGATAATTTTTCTTCATATTTTGTTTCAAAATCCATATGATCTTGTCAATAAAAACTAAGGGCAATCATGAGATAAGAGTGCTTAGGATATAGATGATAGAAATGGTGACCAATAGAGACAGTAAGTGATGTGACATAGGCATAATCCTATGCGGAGGGGTCTCGTGGTGTGACATAAGCGATCATACATATATAATGTAATGGAGCCTCATGACAAGATAAAACGCGAGAGATTACAAATATTATACTAAATAAGAGGCATTAAATAAAAAAAAATAAAACTGTTTCGAAGAAAAGTCTAACAAGAGGGATTTTTCAGACAAATCGTCCTGTTTTTATAAGCTCTGCACATGAAAATAAAATAAAATGAAACAAACCGAAGAAGAAGGTTATAGTGACTATACTCTCTCCACGTGTAGAACACGTGGCTTGATAATTTGGAGGCCCCCACCTTCTCTCTTCACCCTCTTTGGGCACGCCGTCTCGGATTAGAAGACTAATGGCGAAAACAACTCCCCTTAGCACCTCACGTTGGTATCAACCCAAACAATCCCTCTTCTTTCTCCCTACCACTCCTCCCCTGTCATCACCTCCCCCTTCACCTCTTTTTCCTCCTCCTCCTCCTCCTCTCTCCCTCACTTCATCCCTCCACCACCTCTCTCTCTCTCTTGTCCCCACAACCTGTTGTGTGATACCGAAGGCAGAGGAGGCCAACGTGAGGCTTATCTTCCCAGTGTGAGGCTTATCTTCTCACCTTGTTGTAATCCTAGTATGTTTGCTTGTCTTCTCTCTGCAACTTCATTGAGTTTGAGTTGGACGCAATGTGGATCTTATAATGTTGCTATCACCGTGTCCGTTCTCTCTGCAACTTTCTTACTAATATGTGCTTCTTCTGATGAATAGAAAGAACATATGGATGGGTTTGTGATATTTGTTTGATACAATTTGCTGTTCTTTTCAATCTAAGTACTTTTGGGACTCTGATTTTGTTTGTTCCTTGTGATGGATGCCAAACCAAAATGATCGCTCTCATGTGGTTTGAAGTTGAGGAATCAAATGGTTATGGCAGCAAAAACTGCTTTTTGATTGTGTTTTTGTTCTTCTTTGCAGGCTGAGATCTAAATCTCATTGCTGTCATCAAAAGCTTTGTCCATTCACAAGAAACATGAGATATCTGAAGTCAAGAGCTCTTCCATCTCACGTTCACATTCATAGCTATGATTCTATTAATGATACCTTGGAAGTGCTCATCAAGAAATCCGTCAGTTTCCGTGACGTTGTGAAGTCGAAACAGAGATCCATCAGCTTCGATGGCAGAGACCCCGAGGCTGCCATCCTCCAGGCTTTTGGCCCCGGAAACCTGCTGATCAAAGGATCTGTGAGCTTTAATGGCAGATTTTTGGAGACAAAAGCCTCGGTAAAGAGTCCTAAACCTACCAATTCTGCTAATCCCAGAAGTTTCAGGTGTAGTCCTTTGAAGAAGAGATCTCTGGAGTCAACATTGGTTGGACCTGACAGCCCGAAGCATGACGCAGCCTTGAAGCTACAGAAGGTCTACAGAAGCTTTCGGACAAGAAGACAGCTTGCGGACTGCGCCGTCCTTGTAGAGCAGCGTTGGTATGAACTATTACCATTCATCAACTTAGATTTGGGAATCTAAATCTAAGTTCTATGTGTTTAGGTGGAAGTTGCTGGATTTTGCGTTGCTCAGGCGAAGTTCTGTCTCCTTCTTCGAAATCGAGAAGCCCGAATCAGCAGTCTCTCGATGGTCCAGAGCGAGAACCCGAGCTGCTAAGGTCTATTCTACTGTTCACTACAAGCACATTCCAAGTGTTCGACCTTATGCTTGGCATTGGTTGCGTTGCAGGTTGGTAAAGGCTTGTCCAAGGACGAGAAAGCTCAGAAACTTGCTTTGCAGCATTGGCTTGAGGCGGTGCGTTCTCGCAGATCGAGTAACATTGTTCTGAATCCTTTTGCTCGCATGTGTATGACTTTGATCCAAATGTACAGATTGACCCTCGCCATCGATATGGTCACAATCTCCAATTCTACTACAACTGTTGGCTTCAATGCAAGAGCTTGCAGCCCTTCTTCTACTGGTTAGTCGTCGTCGGAGTCCCATATCTCAAGTTCATCGATCAGAATACATGGGCTTAAACCATTGCTTTGGATTGTTAGGCTCGACGTCGGAGAAGGCAAGGAGGTCAATCTCGAAGAGCAGTGCACACGATCGAAGCTTCAACAGCAGTGCATCAAGTATCTTGGCCCTGTAAGCTCTGTGTTCGACATCCCCCTGGGACATGAAATGGTTGCGGAGACTCATTTGAACGAACTCTCTTGACTTGCAGACAGAACGGGAGGCATTTGAAGTCGTAATTGAGGATGGAAAGTTGATGTACAGGCAGAGCAGGCAACCCCTGCACACATCCGACGATGGTTCGAAGGATGTCAAGTGGATCTTTGTGTTGAGCACATCAAAGAATTTGTATGTTGCTCAGGTGAAATCGCTTGTCACGTTGTTTGATGTTGTCTCTCTATTGCTTGATGTTGATTGCCTGATGCCATGAACTGTGTGCTGCAGAAGAGGAAAGGCACATTTCAGCACTCCAGTTTTCTTGCTGGAGGAGCTACTTCTGCTGCTGGCCAATTAGTAGTGGTAAATGGAGATCTAAAGGTAAAAGATCACTTAGAACAGTCCATGTTTCTCTTAAAACTCTGTATAATTATGCAGTTTAATTGAACTTTCAGGCTGTGTGGCCTCATAGCGGTCACTACCGCCCGACCGAAGAAAACTTCCAGGAATTCATGAGCTATCTTGAGGAAAACAATGTCGATCTTACTTATGTTAAGGTGAGCGACTTGCACTCCACATCAACAGTTCACGAATGAGTAATCTTGATCTTATCTTTGTGTTCTTTCAAACAGAAAAGTCCAACAGGAGAGGAGGAAGACGAAGTCTATGGGCCCGAAACCATTAGTTTCATTGGAACGGACATCTCTTCAGCCGAGGAAGTGAACAGTAGCAGTTATCTTTCTGATCTAAAACTCGGAGGAGGAGAAGAAGAGGCGAAAGGATCCATTGACATGCAGCAAAACTGCAAGCTTCACAAGAAGATTAGTGTCAACGATCACGAAGAGAACGAAGAAGAGTCATCGAACTCCAATGAGCAATACATCTTCCGGAAGAAGAATCTGTTTGCGGAGGAGGAAGGAGAGGACGTACAAGTTTTTGTGCCATCGGAGCTGATACTTCGAAGGATCAACTCGAAGAAGGGAATCGAGTCGTATCAGCTGGGGAAGCAGCTTTCGTGCAGGTGGACGACTGGCGCAGGGCCTCGAATTGGGTGCGTGCGAGACTACCCATGGGAGCTTCAGTTCCGTGCTTTGGAGCAGGTGAACTTGTCAACGACAAGGTTCGGGACTGTCAAGTGCTTCACTCCTACTACCAAGGACACGACTTTGACGAAGAAACTGCAGCACCAACCACGAAGACCTGCCAACGTTCGGAGAAGAAACCAATCTCTTTAAATAAATAAATAAATAATATATATATATATATATATATATATATATATATATATATATATGTATGTATGTATGTATGTATGTATGTATGTATGTATGAGTGTTTAATTTATTTGTTTTGTAGATCTTGTAGAGGGGAAAAAAAAATCAAATTTGGACTCCGAAGTTTTAATGGAGGAAAAAAAACTTCGAAGGGAGAATACATGTTATCTCCGATATTATTATAGTCGTAGAGAATGTAATCAAGCAAGAAACTAAGTTTAAACGATGAATTTTTTTTTTATGAGGGAAATTTTTTTTCCGAGTTTTTTTTTATATAATAATTTTCACTTGTTTTTAGAATTTTGAAGTCGGTAATATATTTTTCTTTGCAAAAAAAAATCAAAATTTTTGGATGGATTTGCAAAAATCATTATAAGAATAAAATGATTCTGAAATCATAATCGATTTTTTAAAAAGAAATGTATCTATTTTTTTTATGGATATACAAAAATTGTTTGATAACAATAATAAAGTAGTAAAAATCTTATTATTTGTAATCAACAGCTATAGTAACTTAATCAGTTTCTATTTGCCATCACGCGGAATCATTCTCCGCCACGAGAACACGAGGGCGAAGGGGCGGCTCTCCGTCATCCCCGCTCCAATGGCGGCCGTGATCGCCTCAGCGCCGCCGCAGCCACTCCCCAAGATCCCCCACCCTGTCCCTATTCCCGGCCGCCTCCCTGCTTGCATCCGCCGGTCTCAAGACCGCCCCCACAACCGCCGCCGCACCCTCCACTCCGCCCCTGCCGAGTGGCCGCTCGATCAGCGGATCCGGGAGTCGCTGGCCATCCTCGACCTCATGGAAACCCAGTCCATCTCCCCCGATCCGGAACTCCTCGCCGCCCTTCTCAAGAGCTGCGCCGATGCCGGCACGCTCCGCCTCGGCCGCGTCGTCCACGACAAGGCTACCCAGGCCGGCCTCCAGTCCCACCCCCTGGTCGCCAACACCTTGGTTCTCCTCTACGGCAGGTGCGGCCAACTCGGTCTCGCTCGTCGCCTGTTCGACGAAATGACCGCTCGAAATGTCGTCTCTTGGACCACCATCATTTCCGTGTACCACCACGCCGGCTTCCCTCACGACGCGCTCGACTTGTATCGGTCTATGATTATGGATGGAGGAGTACGGCCGAACGTCTTTACTTTCACGATCGCTCTGAATTGCTGCGCCAGCGTGGAAGACTTGGACTTGGGTGTTAGAATCCATGAAGACATTGTGAAGGATGGATGTGATGGTGATGAGTTCATCATCGTCGCACTGATTGACATGTACGCCAAGTGCGGACGCGTGAGTGATGCTCGCGAGGTGTTCGACCGTGTGACCAACCCATCGGTCGAGGCTTGCACAGCTATGATTGAAGGGTACAATGGCAACGGCGAGGCAAAGAAGGCAATGGATGTCATGAGGAGGATGTTCCGAACTGGGCTGAGCAGTGAGGCCGCTAGTAAATTGGGGTTTGCATCGATGATCAGGTCATGCGCCATGGAGTTGGCTCTGAGACAGGGGCAGGAGATCCACGCACGCATCATCAAGTTTGGGCATCAACCGGGTTCAAAAGCTCTAAGTACATTGGCTGATTTGTATGAAAGTAGTGATAGAATGATTGCGGCCAAGCATGTTTTTGACTATTTGGTAGTGAAAGATCTCGATTTGTGGGCGAGAATGGTGTCTGGATTTGCGAGGAATGAACAATACGTTGATGCTTTGAAGCTTTACATCGAAATGGTAGCTCAGGATGCCAGATTGAATCCTCAAATCATGTCTTTGGCCATCAAGGCATGCATAGGGATGTCAGGCCTCGAGGAAGGGAAACAAATGCATGGTATACTGATCAAAGTGAGTCACTTGTTGGATGAGTCCGTTATTAGCAGTCTTACAGAGTTGTACAGAAGTTGCGGAGAGTATGAAACAGCTCAGAAGCTACTGAAGAATAATTGAATTTGTTTCTACATTTAGGTTTTGTTGAAGGGAAAGCTGAATGTTTTTGGTTGTATTGGATCTAACAACTCTATGTTTGACAAGTATACACAAGTGTTCCCCTTCTTGGCTCTGAATGTTCTATGATTAGATGTTTCTTATGTACATGTGAACTTCTTAAACATTTGTTTGTAAATTTAGGTTTTGTTGAAGGGAAAACTGAATGTTTTTGGCTGTATTGGATCTAACAACTCTATCTTTGACAAGTAGACACAAGTGTTCCTCTTCTTGTCTCTGAATGATCTATGATTAGATGTTTCTTATGTACATGTGAACTTCTTAAACATTTGTTTGTACATTTAGGTTTTGTTGAAGGGAAAGCTGAATGTGTTTGGTTGTCTTGGATCTAACAACTCTTTGACAAGTATATACATTTGTTCCTCTTCTTGTCTCTGAATGATCTATGATTAGATGTTTCTTATGTACATGTGAACTTCCTGAACAATTGTGACTTCACAATGTTCAGCAATACTTTACAATGTACATTGTGACTTTCAATGAAAGATCTGTGATTATATGCTTCTTATGTACATATGAACTTCTTGAACAATTGTGACTAATGCGTTTGTATCATATATCTTTGTGGTGACATAATTAAGGTCATTGTCCAAAATACAGATCGTCTCGAGGGAAAGGTTTCTCGAGTTGTAGCCCAATGAACTGCTTAATTACATTCTTTTCGGCAAAAAAGGCGAACAAAAGAATGCAGATCATTTTCCGAATTTTTCATGGATGAGTTTTTCCATCCACTAACACCTCTTTAATCAACATTTTTACGAAGGATTTGGAATAGAGATAACTTGCTCAATAAGATAAATAATTGAGGAATTTATGGTATTCATTTTCAAACCCAGATAGACCAGAGTCTATTGTTCTTATGGAGAGAAGAGCTGCAGTGACTCCAAACTTGGCCCATTAACATCTACAGAAATCCTTGCCACAAAAATACAATCTACTGATAATTGTATCTATGAAGACTATCAAGCCACACTGTGTGGTTGTAGGAAGCAGACAAATTAGTTGAATGAGAGGATGAGCTTCTCCATACATACTTCCATCCTCGCCTTGAAATGGATCTTGAGATCTCATGAGAGGTTGTCAACCATAGTTGGGATTCTTCCTCATCTTGAAAGCTGCTATCGGTGTCTTATACTGCCTGCCTGCTGCTTCTATGATTGATGATTCCTAGAGGTTACAAGAGAAATTATAATCTTTCAACCGTTTCCTCTATAGATACGTTGTTTAGTTCTTAAAGATTCTATTAATTTACTGGTGAAAGCAGAAGACCTAAGATAAGTTATTACGAGAGTTCTTCCTATCAAAAAATATCATATAAGAAATTATATTATAATATAATTTTTTTTTTGTGTTCAATATTTATAATTCAGTTAGTTCTATTATATAAATGGTCATATAATCTAACAATCCCCTCTCCGACGCAGATGAACTCGGTGGTTTCACTTCGATGAGCTAATCATCCTCTCACGTCCACGCTCACGTTCATGCACAGTTACTCAAAGCGCCCCGCCGCAGTTCAATCCTGAGGTAGGATAGCCATGAGGAAGCTTCCTCCAAGCTTCCACCATCACTGTCAGCAGAGGTATACAATGGAGGAGATTATTTTCGGCATGTGTCCTCTTCCCTGACGTAAAGCAGACACGAAGAACGACACAATTGAGAGAGAGAGAGAGAGAGAGAGAGAGAGATGCGTGTCAATCTCACAGTTCATTTTCAGTCTTTCTTCATCAGCAGAACTGCTTTTTGTATGGTTGTGGAGGAAGGTTCACAGAAGCTTCACTCTGCCGCTACATGGTAGAAGAGAGTCCTAATCATCCTTCTCAGCTTATAGA